TCAGCACGTCAGATTGTATTACTCATGTAGTTTTACCTTCGGATATCACAGATACAGCTCAATATAGTAAGTACAGACTTCTGGTGGGAAAAGGCAGCTTGTGATTTTACGTTGCTTTCACATATGGAGCACACATTGTGGTATCAATGCAACAGAAAAGGAGTTAAGGAAATGCTGAAACCTCCGGAGAAATGTGAAGTTGGGCTCTATTGTATCGAAATTGAAAGTGCCACCTGAATAATTAATCCTGAAGATTGCCATACTTGTGGTTTGTTTTATGACCTTGCTTATCTCATCTGGTGACCAGCAATTAATTCCTTGAGAGCCTAAGATCATATCTAGCAGCTGCCAAGGTGGGAGTTACCTCTTGTTGCCATTCCATTTTTTAGTGTTTAGTTCCATTACATTGTAAAATGTGTTGGCTATTCATTTTATCTTGAGACACCTAAAACACATATCACTCATCAAGACAGACAAGCTTCAGGAAAAAATTTTTACAGGACCCTATCTATATAAACACTTGGAATCACTCCAAATCAGCTCTGTGTCAGCACCATTCTGCCAGTCCCACATCACAAGATTAAGAAAATGAAATTCTACTCTGACCAGTGAGAGCAATCCATGTGCTAGTCCTCTTTCCTGGAACCAGCCTGGCCTGGAGCCCTAGGTGCAAGTTCCAGAGCTACCCCAGCATCCGTTGACTGATGTATGAAGGCACAGGTGTGGGGCAGGAGACTGCCCAAAGGGGTGGAACACGGACTGAGCCCATGCACATTCCAGTCTAGGCTTGAGTAGGTGCCAGATATCAAAGTGGGACTTCTTAATAAATTTCAAAGCAAGCACTCCAAAGGCAGTGTTCTGAGATTACAGTCAGGGCAGATGCCTCGCTTGCCAGGGCCTAAAGGAAGTTATGAATACAGAATCAATGGAAAATGTAGAGTCAAGAAAGATGGCCCTTATTACACAAGAGACAAATAAAGGCAATTCTTCCAGCTCACTTACCCTTTTCCATGGCCTTACTACTCAAAGTGTGAAAACTGGAGTAACATCATTGACATCACCTGGAAGCTTGTAAGAAATGCAGAATCTCAGGTCCTGTCCAGACTTACTAAATCAGAATTTACATTTTAACAATTTCCCCCAGTGATGTACATAGACCACGTTAAAGTTTGAGAAGCACTGGTCCATGATATCCAATTCCCTAAGGCACTGTAACATAATTAGGAAGTCGCTACCCAAACCATCTTTGCTGCATTTGACCCACACAATGAGGGAGCCCACCAGGATTTTAGGATAATATAAAATCTTTTTGGAAGACCTGACCCTCAAGGGCACTATATGGATCCACACTTATATATACCCAGTTAGAATGAAAAGTTACAATTTCCCAGAAAGAAAAGCTCTTCTTTGTCTTGGCCTGGGATAGTGGTAGTGGAGATAGGCACTGACCTTCCCTGCCCCTCAAACAGTGCCGAGAACTTGAAATACAGCACTGTATTCATCTGTACCACCCATTCAGAATTTTACACATATTTAAAACAAAATGTTATTATCAGAAGGTTAATATGTCATTTCAACATTATTTTAAAGGCCAGCTCTCTCAGGAACCAATATATTTTTTTTAAAAATGTCTTAGTTAAGCAATCTCTGTTTTCCATAGAGGTTGTACTAATTCTAAGTCCCACCAATAGTGCATAAGCGTTCCTTTCTCTCTGCATCTGTGCCAGCATCTATTGTTTTTGGACTTTTAATAAAAGCCATTCTAAAAGGAATAAGGTGATATCTCATTGTGGTTTTAATTTGCATTTCTCTGACAATTAGTGATGTTGAGCATTTTTTCATATGCTACTCAACCATAACAAAGGATGAATTAATGCCTTTTGCAGCAATTTTGAAGGAATTAAAGACCATTATCCTAAGCAAAGTATCTCAAGAATGGAAAAATAAACACCATGTGTACTCTCTAATAAATTAAAATAACTGATGGGCACACAAGTTTACAGAGGGAAGTAAAAGTCATTGGAAATCAAGCAGTGGGGAGAGGGAGAAGGGAGGGGGAGGAGGAGGGGCAAAAGCCTACCTAATAGGTATAATAGATATGATGAACAATATTTGGGTGATGGGCACATTCATAGCCCTGATTCAAGCCATGTAACAAAAACATTTGTACCCTCTTAATATTTTGAAATAAAAAATAAATAAATAAAATAAAAAATATACATAAATATTAAGAAATTAAAATTAAAAATGTCTTAGTTAAAACTAAGCAAGTTTATATAGCTATGTGAAACAGAAAGGGAAAAAAAAGATACCTATAAAAATGCCACACAAGTATAATTTTTACTAATTTCAGGAGAAAAATCTATGTAAAATTCAGCACCAGAAAATGAGTTGCAATTCTTAAAAATGAGAATATTAAAAAAGATAAAGAATATATGATATATTGACAACCCAGTCATTTTTGCTTTTCTTCATATGAGACAACAATGTCAGCTTTAAAAATTCACTTAACAAAACCTGTTTACATATTCTTCTAGAAGAGTCACCTAAGAAATATCAGAATCAGCGTATTTTAGTGTTTATCTTTCAAATAATAAAATACATATAGAATCAAGGATCAAAAAATATCTCTAAATCTCATGTAAGACTTTTCTTGATGATAAAATTAGTAACATATTTCTTTAATTACAATATTTTTTTCTTGAGACTATTATTCTTTAATTCTCATATAATGTGAAAAAAACCACAAAGAAAATGAGCCTCATTGACAGAGAATAATAGGATAATGACAGAGTAAAGCGTTATAAGAGCCCAATGATTTTAATGAGCTACAGCAAGTAATTTAGGATCATTTAGGATTATGTTTAAGTGAAAGCCAATAATCTTAAAGTTTCTATGCATATTACTGAGGATAATTGTTTTATTTCAGCATATCATGGCGGTACAAATTTTAAGGTTTCAAATAATGCCCTTGCCCCCCTCCCCCCTACAAGTATGAGCTTCAAGCGTGACCTTCCCCCAGACGGTGGAAGTCTCACTCATTATGTGTGTATATACCTGCTCCGCCTCGCCCCTCCCACCTGATTAACACCCAATTAATGTAGTTCCTATGTGTCCACTTGGATGCTGCTCAGTTAATACCAGTTTGCTGGTGAGTATATGTGGTGCATGTTTTTTCATTCTTGGAATACTTCACTTAGAAGTATGGGTTCCAGTTCTATCCAGGAAAATACAAGATGTGCTATATCACCATTGTTTCTTAGATCTGAACAGTACTCCATGGTATACATATACCACATTTTATTAATCCACTCATGAATTAATGGGCACTTGAGTTGTTTCCACAGCTTTGCAATTATGAATTGTGCTGCTATAAACATTCGAGTGCAGGTATCTTTTTCATAGAGTGACTTTTGTTCTTTTGGGTAGACGCCCAGTAATGGGATTGCTGGATCAAATGATAGATCCACTTGTATCACTTTAAGGTATCTCCATATTGCTTTCCATAAAGGTTGAACTAATTTGCAGTCCCACCAGCAGTGTAGGAGTGTTCCTATCTCTCTGCATCCACACCAACATCTATTGTTTTGGGACATTTTGACAAAGGCCATTCTTACTGGAAATAAGTGACATCTCATTGTAGTTTTGATTTGCATTTCCCTGATGATTAGAGATGTTGAGCATTTTTTCATATGTTTGTTAGCCATTGTTCTGTCTTCTTTAGAAAAGTTTCTGTTCATGTCCTTTGCCCACTTTTTGATAGCTTTGTTTGATTTTGTCTTGCTGATTTTCGGGAGTTCTAAGTAGATTCTAGTTATCAGCCCCTTATCAGATGTGTATGATGCAAAAATTTTCTCCCATTCTATAGGTTGTCTGTTTACTCTCATGACAATACCCTTCACAATAGCAACAATGAAAATAAAGTACCTAGGAATATTCTTAACCAAGGAGGTAAATGACCTCTACAGAGAGAACTATGAAACACTGAGGAAGGAAACAGCAGAGGATGCAAACAGATGGAAATCCATCCATACCATGCTCGTGGGGCCGCAGACTCAACATCATTAAGATGTCTATGCTACCCAAACTGATCTACAGATTCAATGCAATACCTATTAAAATCCCAACATCATTCTTCACAGATATGGAAAAAATAATTTTACGCTTCGTTTGAAACCAGAGAAGACCCCGCATATCAAAGCAATTCTAGGCAATAAAAACAAAATGGAGGTATTAAATATGCCAGATATGCAACTATACTACAAAGCAGTAGTAATTAAATCAATATGGTATTGGCACAAAAATAGGAATATTGACCAGTGGAACAGATCTGAGAACCCTGGTATAAAACCATCCTCATATAGCCATCTAATTTTTGACAAAGCAGATGAAAACATATGCTGGGGAAAAGAATCCCATTTCAATAAATGGTGCTGGGAAAACTGGATAGCCACTTGTAGAAGGCTGAAGCAGGACCCACACCTTTCACCGCTCACAAAAATCAACTCACACTGGATAACAGACTTAAACCTAAGGTATTAGAATTCTATTAGAATAGAATAGGAATTCTATTAAAATTCTAGAGGAAAATGTTAGAAACATTCTCCTAGACATTGGCCTAGGCAAAGAATTTATGAAGAAGACCCCAAAGGCAATCACAGCAGCAACAAAAATAAATAAATTGGACGTGATCAAACTAAAAAGCTTCTGCACAGCCAAAGAAATAGTCATGAAAGAAAACAGATACATTTTTTAATATTTTCTTTTCAAGAGAGTCAATTTAATAATTTCTCTAAGATAAATTAATATTTGCCAGAAACAGTCTAGAATACATAAAACTCATTTAGAACAGTGCCTGACATATCATAAACACTCAATGAATGTTAGCTATTATTATTATAATCTCACTTTGTCATTATAATTTAACAAGAATGGCCAACTATAAACAAAATAGATGTTCTTTCTCCTGTTGAGTCTTTAAATATCTTCATGTCACATACCTCATGCAAGAATTTTCTGATTTCTTGGCCCAATAAAAATTCAGGTAGTAAGTATACATACATGTCTCTGGAAAAAAAAAAAAAAACATTAATTGTGCTTTCCATCTTCCTATTACTGGTCCTGGGGCTACCAATGTTATACAGAACTTATGTTACAAAACTCTGATCACATTTGAGTGCTTCTTCTTAAACAGCTAATGGGAAACAGAAAACCACTGTAATGCTATACTAACTTATGAGGGCTGTGGCTCTGCTCACAGAAATCAGTCCTACTTCCAGCTGGCATTGAGCCTACAGCTCAAACTAAGTCCCAGATAGAGAAATCCCTGAGACTCAATGAAAATAAAAAAAATCTAACAGAAGAGTTCAGATAGTTTTCCTTTAATCCATTGATCTACAAGAAGTATAGCATGCTTAAGGATTCTTCAAGGAAAAGATTCTGTGGAAATGTTATCATTAAATAATAGTGATGACAATCATAAAGAACTGAGTGACCCTAAAACATAATATTGAAAGACAATGGCATAATAATGATACCAATTGAGGAGAAAATTGATATAAGTCAATGGCCTGATAGTCTGACAAGAAACGAGGGCAGAATTATAATAAATTTTTACTGCTATGGGTCTGAGAAACTTCTGCAACCCAGTCATGTGCAAGTAAGTAGTATTTGTGTTACTCCTCAATCTCCCTTGCCCAACCCTCAAAATGGCAAAATCTCTGCAATTACATAAAGCACAGATAGCAAAATAGCATTAGTTCAAATGCCAACTCCAATGACTTGCTACCTGGAGCTGGTGTTGAGAAGAGAACTATGAGGTCCTTCCAGTAAGAAAAGGAGATCCATGGAGTAAGGCAGAAGGGGACCAATGGAAGACGCTTTTATAGCATCCAACCTGATCTTGTTGAAACCATACAGTGGCTATACAGTTATTAATCAATTTAAAATTTTACCAAACATAATTTTCATTTTAAAATTAATGGAGACCTTGTTGCCTATTTAATTCCTTTTCTGATAGTTACTATGCATTTCCTCCTTAACCCACTGCAATTTTCTGCCTTTATTATTCTATGCAATTTTCTGCCATTATTATTCTATAGACATGGGCATTTCAAAGATCATCACTGGTCTCCATGCCATCAAATTCATCAGGCTTTTTTTTTTTTTTTTCAAGATTTAGCCCCTCAGTATCAATAAAGTTTTGATAACTTTGGAGTTCTCTTCCTTCTTCCCTGTATGTCTTGATCCCCTTAGTTTTCCTCTGTGTAGGCTTTTGGGATAATAGTCTTCTGTCTAGTAATTCAGGTTACAGTTTCTTTCTATTCATACTTCTGGCTGTCCAGCTCCCTTCTGTCAGACGGGTCTTAGGAAAACATTTCTTTCATCCTGCAGACTTTTTACTCAAAAGCCTTGTCACATTTATGAGATAAAGGTCAAAAACTTTAGCCTGGATCATTAGGTTCTTGCATTAGATATCGCCTATAACAACCCTTTCAGTGACTTATCCCAACAGAAATTTATTTCTCACTCATGCAAATTCCAAATTAAAGTAAGGAAGGGTCTCTGCTCTTTGTAGTCATCAGGAAAACACAGACAGAAGTTCTGCCATTTCTTACTTGGGCATCAAAATCAAACCAGCAAATGGGAAAGAGAGAAAGTGGAGGATTACACAAGTTTTTAAGAATCAGGCCTCCCATCCACATTCCATTAGCCAAAATCAGTCATGTGGCCAAGACATCTGTGAAGAATTTGGGAAAGGTAGTTTACTATGTTCCCAGGAGCAAAAAGAAACAAATTTATTGAACAGCCACATAGTCTTTGTCACAATTCTACACAATTTGTTACAAACCCATTTTCAAATAATTTTCTAGTCTCTTTAAAATACAGCCTATCATACATATATATTTTTTTCTTACTAAGCTCAGCCTTTTATGTCCCTTTCAGCCAATAATGTTAACCTGGTCTCTCCTTTTTCTGCACATCTAAACTCTAAACAGCTTATAAAGCTTGATTTAAGGTTCTTATTACCCATGACATTTCCCTATCTTTACATCTGCTTCCTTTAAATAGATAGCACTAGTTTTCTCAATTATGTATTAGCAGATATTGCTCCAAATATTAGAAGACATGGTGAGGAGACCACGTGTGCATGCCCAAGTCATGGAGTGAACTGCAGGGATATCTGGACCAAGAGTTAGCTACATATCATACAGCACCTGTATTAGTCCTTTCGTGCTGCTATAAAAAAATGCCATAAACTGAGTGGCTTACAAAAAAAACAGAAATTTATTTCTCACAGTTCTGGAGGCTGAGAAGTCCAAGATTAAGTCACCAGCAAATTCAGTGTCTGATAAGGGCCAACTTTCTGGTTCATAGAAGGTGCCTTCTGACAGTGTCTTCACATGGATGATGGGATGGGATGAGAGTTTTCTTTCATGCCTCTTTTATAAGAGTACAATCTCATTCATGAAAGTGCTACCCTTGTGATGTAATCATGTCCAAAAGCCCCACTTCTTAACAGTATTATCTTGGGGGTTAGGATTTCAACATATGAATTTAGGGGGAACAAAGATTCAGACCATAGCAGCACCCAAAGGAAAATTAGCTTGTTCCAAAGTATGAACCAACTGCACATATTCATGTGCATTTTGTGTATTTTTAACTAACATGAAAAAGAATATCCTTCAATCACACTGAATGTGTGAGTCCACAACTTTTAGAGTATTTGTTGTCCATTCTGTAGTCTAATATCTTTGTTCCTCATTCTCTTGAAACTCCTTCCAAGTGAAGCAGTATATCCCAAATCTCACATTAGTACAGGGTGACTCTTTTCTGTAGCTGTTGGGCAGCAAGCTATATTAAATAGGTTGGATGATGTGCAAAGGGAAAATTTCTGCCATGTAACAAAACAGGGAAAGCCAGCCTACAGAAAAATAGAAAAAAGCATGTGTTCAGGGAGAAAAGACACAACAAAGAGAAAGCTAAGAAAAGCCTGATATAGTTGCAATTCTTGTTCCATTTTTTACTGTATCTCTTTTCCTTGTTTCTGAGGTACACCCCAACATCCACACAATCATCTTCCATATTCTCCTTTTACCAATATAGCCAAGTGGCCGAGGGCACAGACCTTGGACTCAGAGAGATCCAGTTTTGAACCTTAGCTCTGCCACTTACTAGTCTTGTGACTTAGGCTAGTTATTTGCCTCTCTGAATCTCTGCTTCTCATTTTTAAAATCTCAAAAAGTTAAATAAAATACTCTTTGTAAAAAGTCTGAAACACTGGCTTAGACACAATAATGCTCAATAAATGGTAATGGCCATATTTAAAATACTATACTTCATCTAATATAAAGTGCTATTGATGCTAAAGGACATCATGATTATAATGATGTTAAATAAAATACAGAAAGAATATGACTCAAGATTGATAGAATGTTATTTTTATTCCTGAGCTTCTAGAAACTGTTAGAGGGCCTTATCAGGCTCTTTCATAGGTTGCTTCAATTACCATGTAGTGGTTATCAGGTCAGGTAGACCCAGAGCTCTTTTGACTGTTCACCTCTCTTGCTAGAAATGTATTATTAACTTCTAGGTGAGTTTGTTAGAATAATTCCAAATGCTAACTGTAAATTGAGTTTTTGTCTTTGGAAAAGTAGCACTTCACCACTTAGCTCAATGCTTCTCAGGTTGGGATGACAAGCAATAATTACTTAAGAATGAAAACTTTTTTTACTCTGTTTTTCAATTTCATGTGATAATTAATATGTGAAAGAGAAAAAAAGGACATCTTCATTTTCATATGTTAGTTAGAAATAGCAATATTGACAAGATCAAGTAACTGTTTTGATCATTAAATAATTACAGATGCTATAGAATTTTGCAATGGAATAAAATACATGCAAATGCCAAAATTCTGCGTTAGTAAGTCATTGCCTTAAACATATGGAAATTTAATTTAAGACAAATGCTTGAAAAATATCTAATCATAGAAACAATACTAGCAACTAATGCATAAACAGTAGTAGGCAGAAAATGAATAAAAATATACATAATGCTTAACTGTGTATTACGTGAACAAAAATATTTTTTTTATTTTTAAAGAATTAGAATATTATTTTGTCTGTGAAGTTCTCAGAAATGCCAATAGCTAGTTCAGAGAGAAAAACAGTGATTTGTAAATCTGTGGAAAAATTAAAGTCATAAGTGCCTATATATTCTCTAGGTGTGTAATAAAACATACCCCAGAAAATATGCTTCTATTTTTCCAGTTGGAAGAAGAAAGTAAAGTGAACATATTGAAGATATCATGAAAAAAATAAAATTCATGTCTAATGTCACAATATTCTGTTAGTTATAAGTAACAGGCAAGGGCAAACCTCAGCAGCCTTCCATAGCACAACTGTTAATTATTTCAACAAACATTTACTGACCACTTAATCTGGGCCACCTTTCCTGGGCCACATATTAGATGCTACAGATTTTGAGATGAATTAAACGATCTCAAAAAAAAGTGGAAACTCCAATGTTATTTCATTGGAGGGAGAATAAGGACCTCTGCCTATGAAAGAGAAAAAAACAATACAGTGAGTGAGATAAGGTCACAGGTAACAATTTTAAAATGTAGCTATGGCCTCCAGTATAGTACACAACTTGCAGGACAAAACTCCTTGGTCTTTTGGCAGCAATTATACAAGTAGAGAGGAAGAAAAGTCCAACTCACTTATGAAAAGAGTCCTTTAGCACAATAGCACGATCTGTTTTCTCTCTCCTCACTTTGTGAAGTCTAAACTTTTCCCAAAACCCAACAGATATACATGTTACTCTCTCAAGACATACCTAAGGCTCTTATCCATCCATGAGATAATGTGGACTACCTTTTATCTGAAAATGCTTGTCATGAGAAAACAGACAACCATGGGGACAAAAAAAAAAGACACTCAACCATGAGGCAACTGGTAAGATAAACAAGAGCTGGAGTCTTGCTTCCAAGGAAACAGAAGCAGTTTGGAATTTCTTTTTTAAAAATGCACTGTACTAAGGAAATAATAGATGCTCAATATCTTTTA